TAAAGGGGGGGGGGTTGTTAACTAGCCTCTTAAAGGGGGGGGGGGTGGTTGTTAACTAGCCTCTTAAGAGGGGGTGGTGGTTGTTAACTAGCCTCTTAAAGGGGGGGGTGGTTGTTAACTAGCCTCTTAAAGGGGGGGTGGTTGTTAACTAGCCTCTTAAAGGGGGGGGGGGTTGTTAACTAGCCTCTTAAAGGGTGGGTGGTTGTTAACTAGCCTCTTAAAGGGGGGGGGGAGAGGAACAAGCCAACAGAAGATAACAATTAAATCTGGCGCTTAACGAGAAGAAATTTCTAGAAATATTTCAATTCTGACCTTATCTAAGTTTATTCATACATTCTTATCTTAAGGAATGACATTCTTATCTTAAGGAATGACTCCCTAATCTTAAGGAATGACTCCCTAATCTTAAAGAATGACTCCCTAATCTTAAAGAATGACTCCCTAATCTTAAAGAATGACTCACTAATCTTAAAGAATGACTCACTAATCTTAAAGAATGACTCTCCTAATCATAAAGAATGACTCCCTAATCTTAAAGAATGACTCCCTAATCTTAAAGAATGACTCCCTAATCTTAAGGAATGACTCCCCTAATCTTAAAGAATGACTCCCTAATCTTAAAGAATGACTCCCTAATCTTAAGGAATGACTCCCCTAATCTTAAAGAATGACTCCCTAATCTTAAAGAATGACTCCCTAATCTTAAAGAATGACTCCCTAATCTTAAGGAATGACTCTCCTAATCATAAAGAATGACTCCCTAATCTTAAAGAATGACTCACTAATCTTAAAGAATGACTCCCTAATCTTAAAGAATGACTCACTAATCTTAAAGAATGACTCCCTAATCTTAAAGAATGACTCCCTAATCTTAAAGAATGACTCGCTAATCTTAAAGAATGACTCCCTAATCTTAAAGAATAACTCCCTAATCTTAAAGAATGACTCCCTAATCTTAAAGAATAACTCCCTAATCTTAAAGAATAACTCCCTAATCCTGTAGGACTCCATGAAACTGCAAAAAGGAATTCCTAAGCCTATAGGAAGAATCCCTAATCCTGTAGTTGTCTCTAATCCCGTTGAACGACCCCCAGTCTCTACAGAAACACTCCCTAATCCCCCGCGAGTTAATCTACACTCCCTAATCCCCCGCGAGTTAATCTACACTCCCTAATCCCCCGCGAGTTAATCTACACTCCCTAATCCCCCGCGAGTTAATCTACACTCCCTAATCCCCCGCGAGTGAATAGGTGGAAAAAGGTCAGAAACATTATCATTCTCCTTCATGCTTGAGAAATTCTTCCTCTGCAGTCTTATAAGATTCTGACCCGTTTTCTTTTCTCAGTTTTTTGTCTTAACTATTTCCTAAGGGGTGAAGGGGGGGGGAGGTAAGGGGTAGTATGGGGAGTGGCATGGAAGGGGCAATGGGGTGGGTTGTGTATGGGTAAGGGAGTGTTGTATGTGGGTAAGGGAGTGTTGTATGTGGGTAAGGGAGTGTTGTATGTGGGTAAGGGAGTGTTGCATGTGGGTAAGGGAGTGTTGTATGTGGGTAAGGGAGTGTTGTATGTGGGTAAGGGAGTGTTGTATGTGGGTAAGGGAGTGTTGCATGTGGGTAAGGGAGTGTTGTATGTGGGTAAGGGAGTGTTGCATGTGGGTAAGGGAGTGTTGTATGTGGGTAAGGTAGTGTTGTATGTGGGTAAGGGAGTGTTGTATGTGGGTAAGGGAGTGTTGTATGTGGGTAAGGGAGTGTTGTATGTGGGTAAGGGAGTGTTGTATGTGGGTAAGGGAGTGTTGTATGTGGGTAAGGGAGTGTTGTATGTGGGTAAGGGAGTGTTGTATGTGGGTAAGGGACAAGAGGAGGGTCAGAGGTGGAACACTCCTAGATGACAGAGTGCAGGGGAGGGAGTGTGTGAAGCTCCTGGTCCGGCTTGAGTGAAAGCCTCGGAAAACCCTTCGTAAGTTCAGTAGAACTTCAGGTTACAATTCTTTTGACTATGTCGTGGCGTAGTTGGCTAGGGCGTGTGCGTGGGAACACCCACCGCATAGGTTCGAATCCTCATCACGGCCCCTATGGATTTTCTCGGTAATATTATTATTATTATTATTATTAACTTCAAATATCTATATCTTTAGAGCAGACTGTCTCTAAAAAAATGACGTTTCGGGCCTCGCCCTGCATTAACGCACGAAAGGAGGTATGGGAGTGTCATAGGACAGGCGGGGTCGGCCCAAGTGCCATGCTTTAAGAAATAACGGCATCTATAACGACCCTTAGGAATTTTCACGAAATCTGAAATTAAACCAGGCCTTTGTTTTCATAGAATTTAAATGCTTACTCCGGTCATTGCTTTGCTGAATATTTTATTAGACAGAGACCAAGCTTTAAGGCGGCATTTTATTGACCTCCAAACTGCTTTTGATGCAGCAAACATGAGTAAAGAAACCGCCTCAGTCCTTATCAAGGGAGTCAAAAGTATATATTGAGTATATATATTCATAGGGGGCCTGACGGCTGAGTGAACAGCGCTCGGGATTCGTAGTCCTAAGGTTCCGGGTTCGATCCCCGGTGGAGGCGGAGACAAATGGGCAGAGTTTCTTTCACCCTAATGCCTCCTGTTCACCTAGCAGTAAATAGGTACCTGGGAGTTAGACAGCTGCCACGGGCTGCTTCCTGGGATGTGTAACAAAAAGGAGGTCTGGTCGAGGACCGGGCCGCGGGGACGGTGAGTCCGGAGTGTCTCTCTCTCTCTGTCTCTCTCTCTCTCTCTCTCTCTCTCTCTCTCTCTCTCTCTCTCTCTCTCTCTCTCTCTCTCTCTCTCTCTCTTTCTCTTTCTTTCTCTTTCTCTTTCTTTCTCTTTCTCTCTCTCTCTCTCTCTCTCTCTCTCTCTCTCTCTCTCTCTCTCTCTCTCTCTCTCTCTCTCTCTCTCTCTCTCTCTCTCTCTTACCCACATACAACCATCCATTCTTCCCCTTCCCTTAATATTCCATCAGACTCATCAGACTGTTCCTTCCCTTTCTCCACATTCCTTCATTCCCAAATCTGCCGGTTCCTCCCTATCTCCCTCTCTACCTTTTCCTTTCTCTCCCTCTCCATCTCTCACTCTCTCTCCATCTCTCATTCTCTCTCCATTTCTCATTATCCATCTTCATCTCTCATTCTCCATCTCCATCTCTCTGTCTTTCTCAATCTTTCCACCTTATCCATCTACTGCTTTGTTAACTAGGAAGAACACCAACAATTCCTCTATGAAGAGTATAAGACGCACTACGACGTACTACGACGCACAACGACGTACTACGACGCACCACGACGTACTACGACGCACCACGACGCACCACGACGCACTACGACGCACCACGACGCACCACGACGTACCACGACGCACCACGACGTACTACGACGCACCACGACGCACTACGACGTACCACGACGCACCACGACGCACCACGACGCACTACGACGTACTACGACGCACCACGACGCGCCACGACGAACCACGACGCACCACGACGTACTACGACGCACCACGACGCACTACGACGTACTACGACGCACCACGACGCACCACGACGCACTACGACGTACTACGACGCACCACGACGCACCACGACGCACCACGACGCACCACGACGCACCACGACGTACTACGACGGACCACGACGGACCACGACGCACCACGACGTACTACGACGCACCACGACGCGCCACGACGTACCACGACGCACCACGACGCACTACGACGCACCACGACGTACCACGACGCGCCACGACGTACCACGACGCACTACGACGCACCACGACGCACTACGACGCACCACGACGCACTACGACGCACCACGACGCACTACGACGCACCACGACGCACCACGACGCACCACGACGCACCACGACGTACTACGACGGACCACGACGGACCACGACGCACCACGACGTACTACGACGCACCACGACGTACTACGACGGACCACGACGCACCACGACGTACTACGACGGACCACGACGTACTACGACGCACTACGACGCACCACGACGCACTACGACGCACCACGACGTACTACGACGCACCACGACGGACCACGACGCACCACGACGTACTACGACGCACCACGACGCACCACGACGTACTACGACGCACCACGACGCACCACGACGTACTACGACGGACCACGACGTACTACGACGCACTACGACGCACCACGACGCACTACGACGCGCCACGACGTACCACGACGCACCACGACGCACCACGACGCACTACGACGCGCCACGACGCACCACGACGTACTACGACGCACCACGACGTACTACGACGCACTACGACGCACCACGACGTACTACGACGCACTACGACGCACCACGACGCACTAAGACGTACTACGACGCACTACGACGCACCACGACGCACCACGACGCACCACGACGCGCCACGACGTACTACGACGCACAACGACGTACTACGACGCACAACGACGTACTACGACGCACTACGACGTACTACGATGCACAACGACGTACTACGACGCACCACGACGTACTACGACGCACCACGACGTACTACGACGCACAACGACGTACTACGACGCACCACGACGTACTACGACGCACCACGACGCACCACGACGCACCACGACGCGCCACGACGTACTACGACGCACAACGACGTACTACGACGCACAACGACGTACTACGACGCACAACGACGTACTACGACACACCACGACGTACTATGACGCACAACGACGTACTACGACGCACAACGACGTACTACGACACACCACGACGTACTACGACGCGCCACGACGTACCACGACGCACCACGACGTACTATGACGCACTACGACGCACCACGACGCACCACGACACACCACGACGTACTATGACGCACAACGACGTACTACGACGCACCACGACGTACTACGACGTACCACGACGTACTACGACGCGCCACGACGTACCACGACGCACCACGACGTACCAACACATTAATTATCTCAGCTGATGAATTCTGCGCCAAAAAGGTTTCACACTCATCTGCTTAGTGGAGGTGAATTTATTCCGACAGGATGACGGGATTGGTAATTTTTTTTCATTCCTTTCTGGCTTGTTTAAGGGAATGTTTTTGGGGGCCTTTGGTGTGGAGGGTTGAGTTAGAGGGATTGGTGGTTGATGAGATTGGTGGGGGATTGTGGGGGATGAGATTGGTGGGGGATTGGTGGTTGATGAGATTGGTGGGGGATTGGTGGTTGATGAGATTGGTGGGGGATTGTGGTTGATGAGATTGGTGGGGGATTGGTGGTTGATGAGAGTTGTGGGGGATTGTGGTTGATGAGAGTTGTGGGGGATTGTGGTTGATGAGATTGGTGGGGGATTGTGGTTGATTGGAAGATTAGAGAGAGGTGGTCACCAGCTTGGTCAGCTGTGACAAAAATTGGTCGTATTAAAAAATGGAAACGGCTGCCGAAAATAACGTACTGTCCCGTTTTCTGTTTTGGGTCCTCTGGCAGGTTAGGATAAGGGCACTTTAGTACGACAGTTTCTGGACGTTGGGAGACCTTAGGAGGACGGGCTGGGCTGCTTGTGTAATCACCTGTGGTTAAAGTAACCGGTTAACCGTAATTTGGGAAGTAGAAAAGGAGATTAGGATATGTCTTCTTATGTTGTATTTTAAAGTAGTGACCCACAATGTATTAGAGCTTCTGTACAGTATCCTTGTACCTCATACACGTGTCATGAGCTGAATAGTATGGCTCAAGAAAGTATTATAGATGTTGACACTGAATATAATCTGAAATGCTGACAAGTGATGTCTATTAGACACAATGTCTGTCTATCTATCCACAGATAGATAGACAATGCTAAATGCTATATAGGGCTATAGCCTTATCCAACTTTGCAGGGTGACAAGGGAATGCTATGGAGTACAGACATGTGCCTGAATCATCATAGGTTCAAAATGCTTTTAAGAAATACTAGCCTTCACATATTCGATTTTCATGGGAGCAAGTGTGAAATATTTGGTGTGATTTCCATAGAGTTTTTGGTGATTGCAACAATATATTTTCTGAGGGGGGGGCGGGGGGAGGAGAAGGACGAATTGGGGACCAAGGGGATGGGGATGAAGAGTTGGGAAGAGGGGAAAAGGGTGCGAAGAGGGTTTAAGAGACCCGGGAACAGCCGGGTACATCTATATACCTATATATTGAAATATCTGTCTGCAGGTACGTGTGCGTTGAGACGTCAGGCCGCGACGTCGTGGAGTTAGACGTCAGGCCGCGACGTCGTGGAGTTAGACGTCAGGCCGCGACGTCGTGGAGTTAGACGTCAGGTCGCGACGTCGTGGAGTTAGACGTCAGGTCGCGACGTCGTGGAGTTAGACGTCAGGCCGCGACGTCGTGGAGTTAGACGTCAGGCCGCGACGTCGTGGAGTTAGACGTCAGGTCGCGACGTCGTGGAGTTAGACGTCAGGGCGCGACGTCGTGGAGTTAGACGTCAGGCCGCGACGTCGTGGAGCTAGACGTCAGGCCGCGACGTCGTGGAGTTAGACGTCAGGCCGCGACGTCGTGGAGTTAGACGTCAGGCCGCGACGTCGTGGAGTTAGACGTCAGGCCGCGACGTCGTGGAGTTAGACGTCAGGCCGCGACGTCGTGGAGCTAGACGTCAGGCCGCGACGTCGTGGAGTTAGACGTCAGGCCGCGACGTCGTGGAGTTAGACGTCAGGCCGCGACGTCGTGGAGTTAGACGTCAGGGCGCGACGTCGTGGAGTTAGACGTCAGGTCGCGACGTCGTGGAGTTAGACGTCAGGGCCGCGACGTCGTGGAGTTAGACGTCAGGCCGCGACGTCGCGGAGTTAGACGTCAGGGCGCGACGTCGCGGAGTTAGACGTCAGGGCCGCGACGTCGTGGAGTTAGACGTCAGGCCGCGACGTCGTGGAGGTAAGCGTCCAGTGACGTCCAGTGACGTCCAGTGACGTCCAGTGATGACGCAGTGCAGAGAGCATTGCAACATCAGTGCAATCACCTTCTGCGGTTGCATGGTCAACACCGTCCAGCACTATATTGTCTTAGCAGATCTACAACCAGCTCCAGGGAGGACAGAAGACAGTGTGTATATGCTGGTTAGCACTGTAAATGTCCGGCCACGTCTGAGGTTAGAATTGTTACCTAACAATAAATTGTTAGAATTGTTAGCTAAAACAGGATGGAACGACCTTTCAGCAGTCTGGGAACTGAAGGATTGTTGGGTTGATAGAGCTTGTTCTATCTTGAGGTTATCTTGAGATAATTTCGGGGCTTAGCGTCCCCGCGGCCCGGTCCTCGACCAGGCTTCCTTTTTGTTATACACCCCCAGGAAGCAGCCCGTGGCAGCTGTCTAACTCCCAGGTACCTATTTACTGCTAGGTGAATAGGTGCATCAAAGCTGAAAAAAACTCTGCCCATTTGTTTCCGCCTCCACCGGGGATCGAACCCGGAACCTCAGGACTACGAATCCCGAGCGCTGTCCACTCAGCCGTCAGGCCCCCTGATGAGGGTCATCAATTATGCATAACGTAATGGAATTGATGGCAAATCAACTATTTTAAACACCATTTCCGTCCTCAGTGACCCAGAATTGGTTGAAAATTGACCTAATTTGTTGCAGAATGGCTTTAAACCGGTGTTAGTACTTAGTTCTCACTGAGCACTAATTACCAGCCTTTGATTAGGGTAGTTTAGTGCCTGTACCCCATACCCAGCCAGTGGGGGGGACTCGAACTATCGCCATCTTCACTTTCCTTGTCTAATCTGTTCCGCCAGTTACAAGGTGTCAACAGAACAGTTCTCACATCAATCGTAACTTGTTATGGTCTGCCCTCCCCTCCCCCCCCCCCTGCTCCTTAGAGGGATATCACTTTAAGTTAGTTATTGATGACCTTTGGGGTAGTGGCCATCTCTTGCTTCAAATGGTTTATTAACGACTGCCCTGAAAGTTGTCACTCTCTCTCTGTCGGAAAATCCGACACTTCGCGAGAGATTATCTACGAATTTTGTGGACTTTATTTCGCGAGGTCACTAATAATATTTAATACTTCTAGATAATATTAGAAGTTTCATAGAGGCTAATTAAGAGGCTATTATCAATAATTGTGTATATTATTTCTCCAAAATAGAGAATTATTTAATATATTGCACTAGTGATCACAGTATAATATTTACTAATTGCCAACCCACAATAGGGTAGGATATTTACCATTGACTAGTTGAACTATTATCGTTCATAACTAGTCCCATTATTACCATAGTCAGTTGTACTATATTGATCAACCTAACACCATTAATGAATGGTCCAGACCCTATTTTGGGTGTAATTTTTATCAACTCGAGTTGAGTTGTATATATAATAATTTACTTATGATCATTACACCTTTGAGTGATTAATTAGTGTCTCTACCATCCTAGGGTGATATAGAAGAGCTAACCTAAAGGTACTTCCATGACACTGGTTTATCACTCAAATCATTAGTGTGTATGATTGTATATATATAATGTGTATTAATTTAAGTGCTAACCTCTAGTAGAGGTAGGATTATTGCCTAGTGAGTGCATTTTACCCTAGGCTACCATTAGAGCTTGTTCAGTATTATGAGCAGCCCAAGTACAAGTCCCACAAGGCTTCACCAACGAGCCAGTATGGATAATGCAGGGAGAATGAAAAGAACCCTTACAGGTCTTAAAGGCCACTTAACAAGACAGATCAAGAAATGTGAAGATTTGTCACAACAATCAACAGTTGATTATGCTGACCTGGAAAGCTATTATCAAGCAGCTGCAGGTAAATTTGAACAAATCAAATGCCAAATAGCAACATATGTGGCTGAACTTGCCAACACCAATTTATCAGAAACAGAAATAGACGACATTATGGTTGATCTTGCGAGTTATTGTGATCTTGTGATCTTGCGATCACACTCAGGCCACGTTACAGCCTTATGTCAAATTAATTGCCCAGAACAAGGCAACAGCAACAACAACAACAGTTGCATCTAATACGAGTCAAGCAGAAGCTCGACTCCCTCCAATTAATTTACCCACTTTCTCAGGAAAAGATGAGGAAGATTGGGTCGAATTTTGGAACAAATTCGTTGACCTTGTAGACTCAAAACAATCTTTACCAAAGAGTAGTAAATTCTCTTATTTGCAAGGCCAATTATCAGGTGAGGCTAAAACAGTAGTATCCCATCTGAGATTAACTAATGACGGCTATGATCTGGCAGTAAAACTCCTCAAGGATAATTATGCTGATCCAGAAGTAAGAACATCACATTTAGTTCATAAGCTGTTGCATTTACCCCCACCGGAGGCTTCAGCTGATTCACTCCAAGTCTTCAAGCTGGAGGTAGAATCATTGATCAATGCCCTCAGCCTGACAGCAGATACAAACGGGGCTGAGTGGGTCTTGAAAATAATTGTCCAGGAGAAAATACCTAGGTACATATTGAGACAAATGAGTGCTCATTACAATAAAAGTATCTTATCCATGAATGAAATATCTGAAGGTTTAAAGTCAGTAGTTCATCAATTACGAACACATGACAAATTAAAACCACCAAGTAAACCCTCAGAAACCAATAATAGTAAACCACAGAGTACCAAAGGTACTCCAAATCAATCTAGACAATATAATTCAACACCAAAGTGGAACAGTAGCAGTGTGGGCGTATATGCAGTGGGACCCTCCAAGCCTATAGTTACTGTGTCATCCAAGAACGTGACACCAAAGGGTACTGGAAACTATGGAACATGGTTGTTCTGCAATGAGAAACATTCAATGTACCACTGCTCTAATTTTCCTGATAGTGACGCCCGTGTTGAGCGACTCAAAGATTTGCAACATTGCACGAGGTGCCTCAGGAAACATAACATCAAGGACTGTGATACCCAATTACACACCTGTAATAGGTGTAACAAAGGTCAGCACCATGCAGCATTGTGCAGAGACACCAAAACAACGTCTCCAAACCCC